AATTATTAAAAAATTGCAAATTATAGTTGCAGTCAGGTGAAAACTTTTTGAACCTTTTTATCAAAAAAATATATACATATGTCTATACTGTGCACATAATGACATATATATGTAAAAAATTACAAATAAGTATTACAAAAAAAATATAAGAATTACTTAAATTTTTGTAGATTGCAAAAAATAAATTTTTTTAATTTTACTTACTTACAAATTACTTTTGTTAATTAAAAAATTCAATTTAATACTCATGCGCTTAAGAGGAACTTCATACTGAAAAAATCCTTTTTAGGTGTTTGAGAAAAGTACTTTGAAATTTTCGCACCTTATTTCAACAATTTCGATTGTTTGTTAAAAACCGCTGCTTGTCTGCCTGCTGACCTAATTTAATACGAAAATTAAATACATATTATTGCACAATCTTTAAGAACACACTTATCATCTACGTTATCTACACCACCACAGCCTCGTGCTCGCACATCAATTAACTCATCCTTACATGCTTGTGTCGAACTATGTATGTATATACACTAGGCGGAAAATGAAAGTACAGCTTGGTCTAATAAATATAGTTCATTCTATAATATAAACCATAAAAGCAAAGTTTCACACGCTATATAAAGTTCACAAAAAAAAAAAAAAAAAAATCATTAAAATTTTAAACTTTTTATTCAGAATTTCTAGTATACAGTTTTGTAGCCCATTTAATTTTAGTCTAATAAAGTGCAAGTTTCAAACGGCTAAAAGATCTCGTTGACTTTTGATATATATTTTTTTTTGGTGATGGCTTTTTGCGCTTATTCCATATAATCGTGAGTTTCTTATGAAATAAAATGCGGGAGACTGTTAGCAAAAAAATTTCAGAAACTCAATGCCAATTTTTGTGGGTTGCACTTTTTATATAAAAAAAAAAACGCAAAAGCAATATCAAAAAAAAAAACAAAATTTCAAAAATCAACGCGATTTTTTATCCGATTGGAACTTGCACTCCATCAGACCGAAATAGAATGGGCTACAAAATTGCAAACTCGAAAATTTTCTTGAAATTCTGAATGAAAAGTTAAAAATTGATGAAAATTTTTTCAATATTAGTGAATTTTATACAAAGTGTGGAATTTTGATTTATATTGTTTATATTATAGCATGAATTATATTTTCATAAATAATTACTGCAAACAAAGTAATTTTGAATATTATATTAGAACATGGTGCGCACTTTCATTCGTCACCTAGTGTATGTATACACTTCAATCATTGCGACTTTATCGCACAAGTCTTATGCCACCCTCATCAACATTCATCAAAAAAGTGTTTGCTACTTTCATTCGATAGACAAAAATCTCGCTATTCTATAGCCTTTTGAATTGCTTGCCCTCAGCAAGGACGGCTGAGTATCTACACATCAAGAAAAATTGCATTTGGGCTGCAATATTGTTATCTACACAATCCATTACGATCTTCATTTGCTGCTTAAATTCGACCTCAAGTGGGTAGTGAGTGATGATAATATGTATGTGTGTATGTGTGTTGGCCCATATATGTATGTATCTATGTACATGGATGTGAACAAAACTTTTGGCTGCGAAGGCACATTTTGCCATTCTCAGGTTGCTAGTTGAATTTGGCAGCCGTGTTTTGCTTGCTTTTTTTTTGCATTAAAAATTGGCAACTGACCATCTACTAACATCATGCTATCTGTGTATGTGTGTATCTGAATAACATGTCAGCCCTTCTAGCTTCCCTACATACATATATGTATAGCATTTATGCTACTGACATGCCATGTTTTGTGGTTATTTCTATTACTGCTGCTGCTGCCTTGACTGTTCTCTTGCCAGGATCTCCAGCCGTTTCAATGTTGTGAAAACATTTTCTCTGCCTTTGTATTTGAGTATGTATGGATGTGTGTGTGTTCTTGCTCTTATCAGTTGATATTTTGTTGTTGACTTTTGCTGGTTGTTGCTTTGTTGCTAAACTACCTACTTACTTGTTTAGTTCTTGGTCGCTATTGTTTCTAAATACATACATATTCATTCATTTTGTTTGTTGTTGCTCGCTCGTTTTGTTGAATGGTTTGCAGTTGTGGTTTTCCACCTCATGCAAACCTACAAAATTACTGATGGAGCTCAGAGGCAGAGAACTGGCAAGCAACCGCAGCCGCAACAATAACAAGAACAACTAGTAAAACAGTTCTAGAGCAATTGAGATATTTATGGACAACATTTTTAGGTAGATATTGTAAAACTATCCGGCTGGCGCTGCTTCAGGGCGTTTCACTAATGTATCAGCTCATTTTCAATGTTCGTAGATTTGTTTATTTGGACGCATGCGAATGTTAAGAAATTTTCCAAGAAATACGAAATTTTCCAAGTCCGAGTTCACCCTCCAATTCTGGGTACTAACTCATGTGCACTATAAGCCTGAAAAATTCCACAGGATCGACGTTGATTCCTTGTAAAGATTTGATGTGATTTCATTTTCCCCCCTTTGTCGAACTCTAAATTCGTTTGTCCTCATTTTGCTCACTCACGGTCTTTTGTATAGCATTGGCCATCTGTTGGCTCAATGCGTACAGCTTCTAATTACCTCTGTAGTACCACAAACTTTCTCAAACTGTTCGGCTTTGTCGTGCTTTCCCGGATTTTTACATCCGGAGTGAGAGATATAAGTCGCTCCCTGACTGTGGCTTGCTTATGGGCCTGAAGGACTGTCTGCAGAACACTTTGACCATACCCCTACTGTTGGCCAATTGTCGGTTCCTTTCTTCCTGCACTGAGTTTGTCTGCCACGGTTACCACAACTGCCCAGTTTTTTATGTTCATATTGACAAAATTCTACCTCTGCCTGGCCTGCATGATCCTTTTTATTACGCCTCAGCACTACTGAGGATTTTCTTCTTTATATTATCTCACCTGGCGGATGAATGTCTGCCCACAGTGGTGACATGGAGTTGCCTTTTTTTAGTAGTGCTCAATAACCCCAAGGTTCTCTACAAGTGGAGGTACCTTCATCCTATGGCTCGGCGAGCCTGCGGACGAGAAGGTGGATGACGCCGATGGCCGCGGTACATAGTCCTCCCGGTGTTGAGGTTGGAGATGCATGCGTAGAAGAGTTAGGTATTATAATAACCTGCTGCTGATGGCATGCTGGGCGGGTATTTGTCGCTGTAGCTGTTGAGACTATGGCTCCACTTGGCTTCTCTCATCAGCTCCGCTTTCTCAATGCTATTTGCCGGCGATCGGCTATGGAGATTTGGAGAACACGGCTTTGTGTTGAGCCTATTTGAACGAAAGGTCTACCTTTGCCTCGATGTCCATGCTGTCTCATGCATAGGGGGCCAATTTGCGAGCTGAGTGAGTAAATGTTCCGATGGCATGTGCGAACAGCTATATGTAGAGATGTCACCACTACGTTTCGCTTGTTTCTGACTGGATGATCGCCTTGGGCGTTGATAGCAGGGTTTAACGCCCCCCAGGTACTCGCGGTTAATCACTTCCGCACTTTGTTTTGAGTCAGAGATTTGCATTGAGTAGTCGTTCGTTTTATTGGCTCGTTGGTTTGATCACTGTATTTTGGAACTGGATCCTTCCACAGACTAAAGCATCAATTTATTTTTGGTGTAGCTTCGAATGTAGTTGAAGACTGTTGTAACTAACGGACCGTAGAGAGTTTCTGCCTTAGCCCACCATTCTTCTCGGATCACCTCTAACTAACTTCAAATCACCTCTGATAGAGAGTTAGTCAGTTTTCAGGAAGCTTCAAGGCTGAAAGATGTTCAGTTAGGCAAGGAAGGACACTAACGCGGTGGTTTATCCTTGTATGTGGTGATTTTTCTTTGGGTATTTATTTAACCACCTGCGTTGGAATTTCGATATTTAGGTATCAGGACAACACAGTCAAATGGAATAATCTCAGCATAAACTGAGAGCTGAGAAAGAGTAAGAAACAGTTGAGCACTTCTTCTGTAGCTAACCAGCTTTAGCTAAAAGCAGAGCGGACTTTCTAGGTAGGCACTTACTTAGCTCTCTTACGGAACTATCCGGTGTATCAAAATGGGCATGCAAGGTCTAAGTGAGTTGGCCCTTGGACCGACTGCCATCAACTGAATCTAACCTAACATACCAGGCAACGATATAACTGACAACTTCACCAGGCAGAGCAAATGCGTTCTGCTGTTGACTTCATGAAGGGTATCAGGCATACCGCTAGCTATTCACAAGCGCATCATAAGAGAATTGATCCTTCAAATAGAGCTTACAAGGCAAGGAAGACGAGGTTTAGCTATAGCCGGGGCATCCTAATAGCACACATCGCCATCACGAGCGACGGGGGTCTCCACAACTGCTTTTTCTGACGTCCCAGATACGTAGAATAGCCTGGCACCTGCCACGTGAATTCTCAATACTTTGGGCAGGTGATAATTTTTCGAGTACCTGCTTCATTTCGTGAATTAGAGGTCGCGATAATTGCTTAGATACGCAGACTCCACATGCTGCTTTTTAGAAGCGGAATGCTGCGCACGGCCTAAAGCACGGATCTATGTAAGTGTCCCGGTTTCAACATCGACCGCTACTGTAACCTATTGACTTTCCACGTTCTGTGTCGGTCTCGATGTCGTTGAGTATGCGCTTAAGTGTTGCTATGTCCATAGGCTCTTAAGGTATGGTAGTACTCAGAGGCTGTAGTTCCAAAACGTTTATTCCCACGACATCCAGTAAGGATCCATTTATGGCAGTCTCTGGCAGCCACTTTAAAGGCACACAGTTTTTTTGGTGGTTGGTATATTTTGTGATGACTCTATTATCCGCAAGAGCTGTCTAGTGCCTCGAACTTATGCAAATATGTATTCCCATTGAGGGAAAAAACAAAAAAAAAAATCTGCATAATTTTATGCACACTTTTGCCCGTCCTTTAATATTAGAAGTGTAGAATACAATTTAGTTGCAGCCTGTGGTTTGAAAATTACTATTAACACGCCACTCTTTATTTACTTACAGACTTTCCGCTCCAGTGTAGACACAATGCGAAGGACCTGCTGCTCAAGTGTTGGAATTTAAAATTTGGAATTGTCGCTGTTTATTGAACATAGAATAACGCGCCGGTTAGTGTGCGATATGGCATGGACGTAGTTTGCTATACTTTTAGCCACCCGACATAAGCGGAAGTCGAGCGCATAAACGCAATTGCCGGCAGTCAGGATATGACATGAAAGCGTACGAACGACAGCCGTACTTCGTTGGCAACATGTAAAGGAAAGTACGCTTTTCCAAAACGATAGCCACCAAGAAATTGCACATCATTGTGTGCTAGACCAAAGTAAGGTGTGAAAGGGGAAAGAGAAAGCTGTCGACGCAACCAAATCGAGGAAGTGAGTGTTTGAATTTTAAAATCTAAATGGAAATGTACTGTGACATTTGCATTTATACACCACGCTACGCTGGACGTTGTGGAAAATTACCGCTAATGCCACAGCTGTGAGTAGATGTTGGTGTTATTGTACATACAAGCGCACAATAATTACAACCGAGTGCACGAAGGAAGCGAAAGGATAATTGCACAAATGCGCGGCTAAGTTGAGCGCGACTGAGGCGGGTTGTGGAAGAAGTGGCAGTGTACCTGAATTATACAAATAAAAAGTGCAAAAACGTGGGAAAGGGAAGTGAGATGGATAATAAGAAATGAAGAAAAAAGTGAGAGGGCTTAAGGAATAGAGTGATCGGGGCGTGAAGTGAAAAAAGAAATAAAAAATAAGGTATACAAAAGTTTAGTGGCGAAAGAAACAACGAAAAAGTGAAGTAAATGGCATTGCGAATTATGAAAAGAAATTAAAAATCTGAACAAGTGTTTCCTGCTGTTCACGCAGCTCAAATAAGCGAACTCACCCATTAGCGCTTTAGCGAAAGATATCGAAACCAACTGCCAGTGGATCGCGCCTGTGTCCGTACGTTTTAACGTGCGCGCTGTCGTACCACCAATCGTGTGCCATCTCTCATTCTCTGCGACTCTAGCTCCGTCTCTCACTCTTCAACTCTCCGTCTTACTTAATCTCAACTGGCCGAGCGGATCAATCACTCAATCAGTCACCTACTCAGTCCATTGCGCAGAGGATCTTGTGGCTTTTTGGCTTATAAATGTACAAGGACAGCAGCTGCCGCAGCAGTCCGCAGCCAATACCGCCAAAAGAAACTCCCACAGCGATAACTACAGCAACAACAACTATAACGACAATAGCCACAGCATCAACTATAACCACAACTATAGTTGGGACATCTGCCGAGCCTACGGCGAGCACACAACTGCCGCAACAAAGTGGGACTGATAGCGTCGCAGCAGTCAAGTGTAATGCGAACGCAGCCTTAGACGCAGCAACGCACGCACAACGCATAAGCACTGAGTCAACAGCGCCTAGCGCCACAGAAGCAACGATAGACACGAGCGTAGCGCCGGTCGAAGCAGCAACAACAACAAACGTAGCCACAGCCCCCACAAAGAGCATCAGCATAAGCACCAGCAGCAACACCACGCCCATCACCCTCAGCCTCGCCGCCGAACACTTGGAGGCGGAGTACTACCAGCTCAGCTGCGCCTCAGATTGTTCGATTTTGTCATCGTCGACGGCCTCATCCGCATCGCACACATCGTCCAGCGGTAGCGGCAGCGACGACAGCGAGAACAGCGAAGTTTATACATTTCGCGCGCGCCCTGCCTTTCCTGCGCACACCTTACGCGCCATACCCAAGCGCCGCGCCACCTTACGCCGTGAGTACGCACAGGCGCACGAAAGTCAAGAAGCGACGCCGCTGGACGCCGGTAGTCGACGCAGCAGCGCAGTTAGTGGCATTAGCGGCGTTAGTGGTGTAAGCGGCGGTAGCGACGGCGGAAGCAGCCATCGACGTCGTCGCAAGCAACAGCAGCGCGCTAGTATTGGGGCTGATGTACGCGTGTTGCGCAAAATCGGCTATATTGCATCGCGCGTGCGCTTTTTGGCGAAAATCTATGGTGATTTCCGGTTGGTGAATCCCTACAGTCCGGCAAAGCAACGCAAGCAGTTGCAGGACATACTACTGCGGCATTCGATACCCGATACTGAGCGCAGAATCGCGGCGGCAGCGTCAGGGTATCGCACGAAACGCTCAACAACGGCGGTCGACGTACCGGTAGCGGTAGTGACATCGTCAGCGGCAGCGATAACTTCAACAGCGGCGACTACTCCGCTGACGAGTAAACGCAGTCTGACGCCTGATAGTTCCTTGGCGAGTAGCAGTTACGGCGTAGCGAAGGCAAGCGAGGAAGACGATAAGACGCTGCAGGGGCAAGCGCCTAGAGCTGAAGAAGAGCCGACGTTAAGTTCTTTAGAAGACGACGAGGAAGAGGAGGAAGACGAGACCTCAGCCACTTACACGGCGGGCACAGTGCGCCGCAAGTCATCCGTCGGTGCAGCAGGCGCTGGTGAGGAGGAGAGCGCCGCATCAAAGCGTTCGCTTGCTGTGCTGGAGGAGCTGCTGGTACAGTTCTATGAGCAGCGGCAGCATCGCATCACCGTAATACGGCGGCGACAGCACAGTCGACGCGGCAGTGAGCGCGGCAACGGCAAAATTGCCGCAGGCAGCAGACAGCAGTCAACGCAGCAGCAACAGCCACCACAACAACTAATCATTATGAGCGGCGGCAGCGCTGTGGGGACAGACAGCAACGTCGCACAACAGCTACTGCCCACAGCCGCCGATATAGAGCAGCAGACAAATTTACGTAATGCCAATAATCTTTACAATAGCAGTGACGCCGGCGATGGCGGCAGCAAAGTTAACGTCACGGCGTCAGCAACAGCCAGTAATAACCAGCAGGGCAGCTCAAAAGCTGCGTCTGGCGCAAAGGAATCTAGTCAATCACAAAAGCCGCAGCCACAGCCACATCAGCAACGCAGCTATAGCAACGCCTTTCTGCAGCCATTCAGCATGAGCGGTTGCTTGGATCGGCGGCGGCGCGCCAGCGATTGCTCAACACACCCCAGCAGCCAGCAGCTATTACAGCAGCAGCTGTTGAGCAATCAATTGCATGTGACGCTAAAAAACAACAACTATGCGGGGCTAACGTCGAGCACTGGTGGCAAATTTCCGTACCATCGCGGCAGCTGCGGTGGCGCAGGCGAGCATCTCTTAGCCGCCAATTCGATTGCCAATCGCGCGACGATCATACTAAGCAAATCGTGCAGCAATGTGGAAGGCGGGCCGGCGGCTGCGGCAGCGGTAGCGACAGCAGCGGCGCTTTATGGTGGTGTTGGCGGTGATGCGATGCGCAAGCTCAGCCTTGGCGGCCAGCTAGAAGCGTCAAGTAATGGAAATGTGGTGTCGCCGGCGTTGACGCCCTCGCCCACACAGCAGCAGCAGCAGCAGCAGCAGCAACAACACACCGCTAGCGGGCCGGGCAGCAATGGCAACAATGAATACAACATTGTGCAGCTAAATAACACAATCATCCAATGTCATTTCAACGATGAGGATTTTCGTGCGCTCATCAAGGATCTGAAGCGCAAGGTGGAGTACACCGAGCGCATGAATTGGCTATGTGAGTAGCAAAAAAATTAACACATACATATTTCATAATTAATATTTTCATTGTTATTTAAACAATGAAAGGAATTACGAAAAGATATATGTACACATAAGCGTAAAAGCAGCGCTGCGTACTTGCCCCAAAAGCTTAAATCTATGCTTGTTTCATGCTTATTTATCTGTATATCTCATAACAGTCGATTGACTGCTATGCTATGTATGTTTTGCTTCACTCGCAAAATTCGTTTGTGGCTTAACCACAGGCAGCACACGTTCGTATAGCGAGTTACAATAAATTGCAACACAGCATAAAGGCGCTGGGCGCGTTTACAAGTTTGTTTTTTTACCTGAAAAGATGCTCGCGGCTTATTATTTACTGCATTGCTGCAAGTAAATGTACATATGCAATATCTGGAAAGTTTAATTTTATCCAATATCCTGCAGCGCTTATTCGAATCGCACTCTGATTGCGTGTGCGAACGTAGCAGTATTTGGACATGGTTTGCTGTGAATTTCAGCTGCAACACAGCTGTACTTTCAAAGCTGTGTGAATGTCCTTTTTTTCTAAAGAAGTTCTTCGTCCCCAAACGCCAACAATTATAAAGTATAATATAATTGGCATGCTAGTGGCCATAATTATGTGCAAGTTTAATGATGATTGCATGACAAAAAGGGATCATTAGCGTGCTTGTATATTTATTTACATAGTTGAATATTGCAAGGCACTTCAGATTTTTTTTCTCTGCATTGATAGTCGATAGCTTTAAGCACATAATCTCTTGCTGCTTTTATGTACTCCCACTAAATTTTTCAAAGAGTTGATGTCTTTAAACATTAACGAGCAAGTAGGTCAAGCGCGCCATTGCTGCCATTGTCTGCTCAAGTGGGAGCATAAAAGTTCGGTTACATCATAAATTATTGCAGTCGGAAAAATTTGCGCCAGCTAGCTACTCTGGCGATTGGCTATTGCCACAGCTGTTCACAGCACTTCTATCTACTAACTATTTTTCTCCAATGCTTTTATTGTTTTTTTTTTATTTTACTTGCCCATTAATGACTTTCGATTTTTGTATGGCTGCTATGCATTCGCTCTGCTTCTTCCCCCAATGCGAAGTGATTTCTTCCATTCATGCGCGCTGCACTAATTCGACTTGAGAATTTTCCATTCATTATTTTTCTTTATTCTCAATTTCTTTTCTCTTTGGCTTTTTTCCACCATTGTCACGCCCACTTCCTTCCGAAAAGTGCAATTGCTGCAATTTCTGTTTCGAAAAAGTGAGTAGCAAAACTTTTTGTCGCAGCAATTTCCAGCACCGTAAGCCATACCAGCATAGTTAGTGTTGCTGTGGCCAGCCAGCAAGCAATGGCTTTGTTTCAAATCCTTTTTGTCCTTTTTTGCAACAAAGTTGAAATATTCACGCCATCCGTTTTACTACAAGGATAATTTTTTTTCTCGCCTGTTTTTCCGTTGCATTTGATTGTTGATCTTTCATTCGAAATGCAGATGTGTGTATATGTGTGGGCGTACGTGGGCGGATGTGCACGTATCCTGCTGGTGTTTAGTTTAGCTGCCAAATACATATTTGACATTTCAATTAAATTGAGAAATTTGGGTGGCAACTGCTTTCTATGGATAATGTGCGTTGTAGTTTTGAAATTTTGAGGAATTCAAAGTTTTGTTTGGCTGCAGCGTTTGCGTTTTACTTTGGTAAATGAACGTAGGAAATTTAGTAGATATCTATTACAAAATTTGAAGAACATCCGTTGACTTTTAAATGCACTACATGAGTGTCCTTTTTTTGAATATTTTTTTTTTGTGTGTTAAAATTTAGCGTTAGAGCGAAGACTTGGTAAACGAACGTCGCTACACGAGTGGAAACATTTTACAAAATATGAAGAAAATGTAATCGGACATATTTATGTACATAACTAAATTTTTCTACATCAACGAAGTTGTAGTAACCTTTTAGAAAATTTATAGAACTTTAACTGAATTTTATGTGCACTACGCAAACGTCCTCTTTTTGGATTTTTTGTTTGTTTGTATTGAGCGTTATAATTAAATTTTGGTAAATTAACGTGGCTAAAGGGGTGGGACCATTTTACAAATGTCCTTTTTCCGAAAGGTTTTTTGATAAAATTTTGAATTTTTTTAAATTTTTTTGTTTGACTAATTTTTATAAGCCTAGTTCATATGTATGTATGCACATATGCATGTGCTCATATAAAGTGCCATAACTTTTGAGCGGCAACATATTCTAAGTTCTACTTTGGTATTCGAATGCAGTTGATAAAGAACTAAACGTGTCTTAAATCTCAAATGAGCCACTTGCTTCTAAACAAGTCCAGCTGAGTGTCCTTTTTTATTACAAAAACAAACAATCTAAAGTTTTTCTACATATGTGCACCAATTCAAATTTCGCGCTGAATATCATTTTGCGTATGCCGTAAATACTTAATAATAAAAGCTTTTAAGCTCTGTTTTAGCAATTCAACGCAGCTAACAAAGCAAGAATCGCAAACCAGTGCAAACGAATGTCCTTTTTTTCTAGTTATATAAACAAAGAAAGTATCTAATAATCAAACCTCTAAACCTCTAAAGCCTAAGTTTTACTGCTTATATTTACTCATATTTGTTATAATAGTTCAGAGCTAACAACTTTTTAGCTGCAACTTTGTTATTGAACGCGGTTAAATAAAATTAAAGCACTCGCTTAGCATGATTTTACATTTTTTTATTTGTGCGAAAATGAGCTTAATGCGCTAAAACAGGATCTTACGAAAAGTCTCCTAACTTTTGCACAGTCAATACTATTGAACTGAGCTTTGGTAAATGAAAGTAGTTGTCCATGCACTAGCTTCTCAATAAATTTCGAATAGAATCGTTTGTTTAAAAACAAAGCTACGCGTATATCCTTTTTGTTGGTAATTTATCAATTGTTGCATAATTGCAATAAAATAAGTGTTAGGGGTTAGAAATATGCTTTAGTAAGAAAATAATTTTTTTTTTACAAAGTCCATGCTGTAGAGCGAAGCTTTGTGTAAATGCACGTAGTTGTCTATGGGCTAGCTCCTCAGCAAATTTTATAACAATCGCTTGCTTCAATACAATTCAATATATCCTTTTTTGAGTGTTATATATGATTTCTTGAAGAAATGAAGTAATTATTCCTAAACGCTTGTAGCTTACCCACTCCTTTCTGTCATTGAACACAACTACTAATGCACCAACCTTGTATTGAATTTCAAAAAAATCACTTACACCCAAATTATGCTATGCCTATGTATATCCTTTTTTATGCTTAACACAAAATGAAAAAGTAACAACAATATGCCATTACAATGCTTATTGCTTTAAGTTGTCGATATTTTCTCTTTTTTTCGCAAATAATATTAATGAATGTTCGCACTTAAATCAGCACAAGGACACAAAAAAATGTTTGCGTCTGGGCAAAGGTATACAATAAAAATCAACGAGCAAACAAAAAACAAAACTCTTTTTGTAATATAATAAATAAATAAAGTAAATATAATAAAGCTATGCGCTATGCTGGTCAACAGCTTACTGTTGATTTACCCTGCCTTTGCTGCTTTTTAGTGTTGCTTTTGTATGCTTTGTTTCCTTCCATACAAAGGAACAAAGTGAATCACAGCATGGGCGATTGTTATTTGGCGTAGAAAACAAATGAAAAAAACAAAACTTTTGCAAGCCACCTCGTTGGTGAATGAAGCCGTTGGAACTACGACGTTGGCAGTAAATGGATTTTAGTGAGGAACATGCAAACAAATCCGTACATACATGCATACATATAAAACAAAAAACCATATGGACAAGCGTATAAGGCTAGTGTATATGTAATTGGCAGCTGGAGTTTCGACTTCTTATCAGCAGGTGCTGTTCACAATCCATTAATGTGATTTGTGAAGTGCGATAGAAATTGTGGTTTTCGCAAATTAATGGCATAGCTAAAGCATAGAGTTGGGGTCGATATGAGTGTTTTGATGGGAAGCCATTTTTTAATGCTTTTTGCGACCCTTAAACATACAAAATCGATATAATAATAATATTTTAGCGCTTACACTTTCGCTAAGTGTTGGCCGAGCTTCTGCTTTAATTTGCGGTGTGCGGCTTGATAACCTTTTATCAAATTTTGTGCTATTGCAGCATATAGCCTTTGACATTTGAGCTTGAATTGTTGTAAGTTATAGCAGTTAATTCGAGATAATTCCAAATAACTGCGAACAGCTTATTTATGCATGTTTTGAAACTCAAAATTTAACTTTTTTCACAATGCCGAAAAAGGACATTCAGTAAGCTAGTTAAAAAATCCTCCGATTTGTATGAAATTTCGCGTGAGCATAGCGGATGGCATTTGACATTCATATAGTAAGTTCGAAAGCGAGAGCTAAGCGTTTTGGCTAAAGTTTTCAGATAAGAAAAAAAAATCAGATTTTGTAAGTGCAATTATTTTCTCTCGTTTTGCGTTAATATCATTACAAAACATATTTTTCGTCACTTAAAACAAAAAGGACATGCATCCGCTTGTAGTTAACGTCATTCAATGTCTGTCAAATTTCGTACTCAAAAAGCTGAAAACATTTCCCAATCTTATAGAAATAAAATGAATGTATTTGCAAAAGTTATACAAGCAAATATTGGGTTTATAATTGCATAAGACACAACTAAAATTAAACTAAAATTAGTATCACACACGCTCCAACAGTTGCCAAAAATCGCTACGCTCGGTTACCTTGCTTTTGCAGCTTCGATTTGTGGACGCATGCATAGGTATCTGCTTATGTTTGGGAATATGCAAGGTAACTTTGAATGTATGCGTAACTCAGTTTGATTTAAGCCCCTACACATATAAGCTATACAATATATATCCTTGCTTTTGTCTATTATTCCACTTCCTGGAAATCACTTCCTATTCACCCTGCCGCCCTCCTACGCTATTGACCTAAAAGCTTAGAATAAATTTTTGACAACCCAAATTTACTTTGACTTCGTATACAGACGT